GAGAAAGTAAGAGAGACAGAAGAAGAGGAAGAAAGAGAAATACAAAAAAATAGTAGCAGAAAAAAGCAGAGATCCTGGATTAGAAGCATTCCTATTCATTTTCGATTTTTTTGGAATTAATATTGTCAGGGTGGTATTAATTTGATCAGTTCTGATTAGTAGCAGTTCTAGCTTGAAAAGTTCTCATTCGGGCAGTTCGCATTCATACCGGTTCTGATTTGTACCACTTCTGATTCGGGCAGTTCTTATTCGGGCGCGTTCTGATACGGGCGCAGTTCTGATTCGTAGCAGTTCTGATTCGGGCAGTTCCCATTCGGGGCAGCACCATTTTGGCTTGAGTCTGCAAACACCGAGGGGCAATAGCGATGAATTGAGTTTAACTCTGTTGATTATAGAAATTCGGAAAATTACATTCCGGAACTTTACGAGCGGTTTACGAAGAGTCCTCTGAGGCCTTCGCGGCGCGCATCGAGAAGATCCCCCCCCCCCCCCTAGCTTTTTGTATTCTAACTGACCTCTGGCTACTGCCGGCCAATGGTCATGTCAAGCCATTGTTCCTTCCCCCACCCACATTCCCCCTCTTTTTCTCTTCTTTCTTTTTCGTTGTTGTTAATTTTATTCCTAGGTGGCTGAAGAGAATAAATGTGTTATTATTATTAAGAGGACAGAAAAATAATGTTTAATGAACAAAAAAAACAATAAAATTCAAAAAGTTATAGTATGTGTGTCATTTTGTAATAATGCGATCGGGCTCAAACTTCGCAGGCTTCTCGGACATGGATTGAAGTACAAATTTTTTGTTTTGTTCATTAAAAATTGCTTTTCTGTCCTCTTCGTAAACCGCTCGTAACGTTCCGGAATTTAATATTCCGAATATCCACAATCAACAAAGTTACACTCTTATGATGCAGCAGGGTAGTTGAAAACATTAGAGGTAGTTAGTTTAAAAAACCTATTAATTAAAAAATATTAGGGGTCGTAAAGAAGTGAGGGTAGTAAAATATCCATGGTAGTAAAAGATCCAGGGGTAGTAAAAGATCCATAGGTAGTAAAAGAATCAGGGTGGTAAAAGATCCAGGGTAGTAAGAGTGAGGGAGTGAAAAATCCAGTAGTCAATTAGTATTTGCCTAAGAATGATAATGACACTGGGTACAGACCATTTTTGAAAATCAGAGTGATGGAAGTAAAATAGTAAAATCTGGAAGTAGTTCCGTTATTCTTTGAAGTTGAGTAGCACTGGGAGAGAAATAAACACAATTCCACAATAATCAAACAAAGCACGGGATGTGTTTGATCTCGACATACAACTGTTGCAACTTTGATCCTGCTTGAACCGATCGAAGCACGGATTCTGAAAATATGGGCGGAGAGAAACGAATTTAGTTCATCTTTACACTAACACGACAACATTCCATACTCGAATTCTTCTTATGACACACCAAGTGTTACTGGACGAATTGCGTGTTGGAAATTATCAACTTCCTATTTTTCACACACACTTCCTTTGATTTGCGCTGTTCAGGCGGCGGTTGAGTGGTGAAGAATCTATAAATGTTAATCGGGGCATTTAATTCGGAGGGTACAAAAATTAGGGGGTACAACAGGGTACAAATGGTTTTGGGGTACAACTTTCATGGTTTTGGGGTACAAAAAGTCGAGGGTACAAAATTTTCGATTCTGGGGTACAAAAATTAACCGATTCAGTAGGCATTGATTAAGGGGTACAACTTTTATGATTTAAGGGTACAAATTTCACGATTTTGGGGTACAAAAGTTGCACGAAGCACATTTTCGAAGTTTTCATTCCAGTTTTGAATTTTTGAGAGCTCACGAGACACAGTCGTGTGTAGCCATGCTTTGTTTTATGCAGTATTTTGTGTCATTTCGAGAAAAAAACTTTACTTGGGTAAATTTCACACACAACATCAGATGCTGAAATTCTGCTGTGAAATTGCAGAATTTAAAAGGGGCCAAAACAGCAAAAACAACTTGTAAGTAATATTATAGGGGCACCGAATAGAAAGGACGCTCTGTTCGCAATCTGGCCGAATTTCTAGTCCGCGAAGTAATTTTCCACTGAAAACGTGGCCTAACTTTTCAAACTCGGCCCCGAGCTCACTCAATTTGCACTGCAAAAAAGTGTATCAATAGAGCGCCCTTTCTGTTCGGTGCCCCTATAATAACAAACGGGTCGCCGTTTGAACCACTGTCTATCGGAAGCAAAACGCTTCGAAGGGTCATGAAATATCATTTAAAAAACATCTCTGGAACTGATCAAGCGGTTCGGAGTACAAAACATTCACGGAGTAAAAAAATTTTGTGAAACAACTAAAAACATTCGCTGAATTGATGCCCATGAAAAAATGGGAAAAAATTGTTGTACCCCAAAATCGTGAAATTTTGTACCCTTAAATCATAAAAGTTGTACCCCTTAATCAATGCCTACTGAATCGGTAAATTTTTGTACCCTAGAATCGAAAATTTTGTACCTTCGACTTTTTGTACCCCAAAACAATTTGTACCCTGTTGTACCACCTAATTTTTGTACCCTCCGAATTAAATGCCGTTAATCGGAGAGAAAAGAAATTGTATCGTCAAAAAACTAACACAGAAAACATATCTAAAATCCGTGAGTTTCTGTCGATTGTTCGACTGCTACGACTGTGGAAAATCTGAAAATTCACATGGAAAGAACGTGTCGTCCGCTTTGAGTATTGAACTGGATCCCAATTTGTGACGCAGTCGGTGAACTGACGTCGTATTTGCGAATCGAGCCACCTACTCCAGCGGACAACAACTGAAGTATTTCATTCACATATTTATGCCTAGTCAATTAATTTTAAAGTGAACGCTTGTAGCACCTTGAAATGTTATTCTAACTTGACAAATTCCCGAAGCATCTGTCTCCTGAGGCTTTTGCGACGCGCATAGAAAAGATTCCCTCTTGTATATTGTATTCTACTTGACCTATGGCTATTGCCGGCCAATGGTCATTTTAGTCATTATTCCCTCCTCCACCCACTATTTATATCTCCCTCTCTTCTTCTGTAAATTTTTCTGGTGGTCGAAGCGAATAAATGAGATATTATCATCATTGCTGCCAAAAATCCACACTCTTAGAGTTGTTAATTGAAGCCGAAATCTAGATTTCAGATGTGGGATGAAGTATGAGCGTTAGAAATAAACAATACCATAATCGGTTCACCTGCAGTAAAATGGAGGCAGTTCACTGCGTCGGAATGAATTCCCACGATTTCCAACGAGTTCCTTTCATGCATGTTGTGTGATAAATCAAGCCAGAATAATTTGGTCAGAAAATAGAACGTCCTCTGAATTGATAAAACGTGAATTACGTTTCATTGTTTGTGAACCTCTTCAATTTTGACTTATTTTGTTGTATCCTAAATCGGGTGTTGTCAGATGCTGGAGTTGAGGGGAAGAGAGCGTATCCAAAAAATCAGCGAATTGTTGCGAATACTGAGCTGTTGTAAACTTCGAAAATTCCATCGTACATGCCACGTTTTGAATGAAATACCGATCAGGATTATCCTAGAATGTGTATATGAAGCACCTTTTTATGGACAGAATTATTGAGACTTTCATTAATAACTCATTGATATTAACAAGAAGAAAAATACTTCCAGGCTCTGATCAACACTGATAAAATAAAATAAAACCTGTTCTATAGCGTCGTTAAACTTCTTGTTCGGTAAAGAAGATGCTCCATTCAATGGATGGAGTCCATTAATGGATAATGCGATCGGGCTCAAACTTCGTAGGCTTCTCGGACTTGGATTGTAGTACTTCGTTTTTTTTTTCCTGAAAAATCAGTTTCTTTCATTCTTTGACTCACTCATCATTGACTCATATAATGCATTGACTGACTCATTATTGACAAATGTTATCTTTGACTCCCCTATACAGTTTTCGGCTTACTCATTATTTTAATATTAAAATACGCATTGTAATTAAATATTTATTAAAACAACCATTCCCAAATCGGTACAAATGGGATTTAAATCGGGGACCATCCATAAAATCCTAAGACCCTTGGCTCTATCCTGGATGAGCGGTACTTTGGAGGAATCAGCAGTACCAAGCTAACTTTTCTGGCAGTTTGAGGATCTGTAAAAAATTTCGGCAACGTGGAAATCTAAATTTTACTTCAAAAACGGATTCCCCATCCCTTAAACTATCGGAATCACTTGAAAATAGGCGTGTGATCCCATAAACTTGGCCACACAGGCTCTCAGACTGACTTCCATTTTCGTTTTCGCCGTTTTTTGGAAAAACGGTGCGTTTTCACGGGAAATTGAGTTGTTCATTGGATTCAGCATGGTCGATTACATAAAGTAAACCGTTTTGGGTATGGTACTTCATTTGGGGACCTCGGTACAGACCGTCAAACACGCGCGCGCGAAAATTGGGAGAACATTCGTCAGGCCACGCCCCCTTTGTTGCGCCCCCTACATATAATGCATTGACTGACTCATTATTGACAAATGTTATCTTTGACTCCCCTATACAGTTTTCGGCTTACTCATCATTTCAATATTAAAATACGCATTGTAATTAAATATTTATTAAAACAACCATTCTCAAATCGGTACAAATGGGTTTTAGATCGGGGACCATCCATAAAATCCTAAGACCCTTGGCTCTATCCTGGATGAGCGGTACTTTGGAGGAATCAGCAGTACCAAGAAGGAATGAACGGTACCATGGGGGAATCAGTGGTACTATGGCGGAATGGACGGTATCATGGCGGAATGGACGGTACTATGACGGAATGAACGGTACCAAACAGTGAATGAACGGTACGAAAACGCGGAACGAGGGGAACCAACGGCTGCAAATAGTTTTTACGCGTTTTAAAACCAATTTTTCGTTTATTTCGTTTTCTTTTGTTTATATAAGTAACGTGATAATAAAAATAGGACAACGCGAATTGCTGAAGGAAAAAAACGATGTCACGAAAAAAGAATCAGAGCAGGATTATTTCAGTTTTCATAGACTTGCGGCTGTTGTTCGCTTTCACCGTCTTCCCCCTCGTCATCAAGTTGTTCTCCGTCCTCGTATTCTTCAGCATGTGTTGGCTGATCGGTCCCATTCGTGTTCGGCTGATCGGTCCCATCAAAAGCGATATATGGTACTTCCACATCTCCCGTAATTAGGAGCACTTGATCGTTCGCAAACACCAATCGGTGCGGAAAAAAAAGAATATAAACACCATCAAACGTGGTCTGTAATTAATTAATTCGGAATCGGTCGTCTTTACTGTTCAAAGTTCGCTTACTTCTATTCCGTCATCGTGGATTTCGATTTGAATTGTCACTTCACCCGGAATTTTGAAAGGGATTATCGTTCTGTCTTCAAAATCCCAGAACCCTCCGTATCTTATATTAAAAACGACGGCTTCGCTTAAACAGTTTTTGCGCAATAGAGGAAAACCTGTTCTGAACTGGAAACGTTTACCCTCCCAAAGTCTTAAGTTGCATTGTGGCCCCAGTGTCCGATTGCATCATTTCTTCTCCGTATACAATTTTGTCACCAAAGAACCTTTCCATATCTGAGGTATCAAAGTGAGGGGGGACTGACAAAGTCCTGAGGTTCACTTTCTCCTGGAAGTTGTTTTATAAGAATTAAATGTGATATGGACTTGTTCTGGATAAACTTGACCGTCGTAGAGTGAATTGCTCCATTTGAGAGTACTAATTGAAAACGAAATAAATACAAAGAATAATGGCAAACAGTGAAAAACTTAATCCTGACTCGTTCAGTCGTTGATTGCGCGTATTTCGTTGAGGTAAAAACTATTTGCAGCCGTTGGTACCGCTCATTCAGTCGTTGGTACCCCTCATTCCGCTATGGTACCGCTCATTCCGCCATGGTACCGCCCGTTCCGCCTTTTCGTACCGTTCATTCACTGTTTGGTACCGCTCATTCCGACATAGTCCCACTCATTCAGTCTTTGGTACCGCTTATTCCGCCATGGTACCGCCCGTTCCGCGTTTTCGTACCGTTCATTCACTGTTTGGTACCGCTCATTCCGACATAGTCCCACTCATTCAGTCTTTGGTACCGCTTATTCCGCCATGGTACCGCTCGTTCAGTCAATAATACCGTTGGTTCCTCTATAATACCGTTCATTCCGCGTTTTGGTACCGTTCATTCCGTCGCTGGTGCCTCTCATTCCGTTTCTGGTACCGTCCATTCAGTCAATGGTACCGTCCATTCAGTCAATGGTACCGTCCATTCCGCCATAGTACCGTCCATTCCGCCATAGTACCACTGATTCCCCCATGGTACCGTCTATTCCTTCTTGTTACCCCTGATTCCTCCAAAGTACCGCTCATCCAGGATAGAGCCAGACCCTTCATATTCCTTTAATCAATTACCCTCACGCAAAAAAGTTAATGATCAAATGCCCTGAAGTTAGGCTTGAGTACGCAAATACCTAGGGGGAAGAGCGGTAAATTGAGAGTATTTGAAAAATGCATTCTTTTATTGCGCTCAACTCTGACTCGGATCCATGCAAGCATTCTTTTTGGTACTGAAACATTGTCAAAATTTGTAGTACTACTAGACACCTGGGAAAACAATTGGAAGTGAAAAATCATATGGTGGTGAAAACCTAATTGCCATGTTTCATGCATGTATGTTCACCAATAACTTCCTTACATCATTATTTTTGTGTTTCAGTTTTTATTCAGGGGTACTTACTAGGTTAGTCTCTCAATTGTCATATAGGGGATCATAGCCATGCAAACATATGAATTAATAATTCAGAAGAAAAACATGGCTCCAATTTCTTTCACTCAAAAGTGTTTTGGCGAATGATATTCTTAATTCGGTGGAATAATTCAGCGAGACACAAAGGGTGCAATCGGAAGAAACCAGCATGAAAATAATTATGTTTTCGTCCGAATGAATACTCTATTCGCTTTTCCTCTACTATTTTTCTCTTCCAAATGACAATGGAATTTTTGGTTTCTGTAAAGTTTATAAACTCAAACCTGTTATGAAGTACACTTTGAAAAACAGAATAAAACAATGTTTCAAACGAGTTATATTTTTTGAGAATACTATTTCTCAATCTATAGAGAAAAATGTTTAAATTTGATTTTCGATAGTGCTTCCGTTCAGATCTTTACTTTTCACAATTTTTACTCATCGCCCGTTATTATTTCGTTGGAAACGTTTAAAATTTGATAGTTTCAAATAAAGTAGATATTTGAATAATTTTGTTATTGTTTTTATTTTCCAAGTTTCTTCTCGAACACCGCTTTCTGACTCGAAACAGAAAAACGAAAGTGAAAGGCGATGCAGTAAAAATGAAGCTCAAAATCTAATCAGGAAAGATCAAAATTGAAAAAGGAGTGTCAGAGCAAGGAAAATACTTCTTTGCGTTATTTCAATGCTAACACAAAAAGTCTACAAAACCGTAGATACCGAACCTTTAAATTTTCAGAAAGAATTCCTCAATTTTTCTAAACTCTTCATCGTAGAAATTGTTTTAAAACTATTGTGTATAGGGGAACCAACAAAAGTCAGAAACGCATCCTCTATTCGTTCTCACGCATCATTGTCTCCTTCTCTTTTCCGTCTATACCACCCACCCCCCTAATCTCTTAAAGACGTAGTAAGTATAATAATACTTGTAAATGATACTAGCCGGGATTTCCAATCATCATTCTTATTAATATTACTCTTCACGGGTTTGTCCCTCTGTTTGTTTGTTTGTTTGTTTGTTTCCCTACTTCATTTCTAAAACTCGAAAAGTTGTGATGGAGAAAATAAGAAATGAACACGTGAACTTTCGAACGGTTGCAATAAACAAACAAGCGGCGAAGCCGCTACCGACCGTGAGCTCGGCCCGCGCATCGGGCCCCGGTTTAAAAGCTCTTGTTATACTTACTTATTTTGATTTTTCAGGAACAATTATTCTTTAAAGTTTAGAGTATAAACGACATTCTGCTATTATGAATCCCGGTTATTTGCTTGTTCTAAGCACTACATGCGGCAACGATTCAAATGGCTCATTAGCCTTGTTATGAGTTTTTCTCGTAATACTCAAAGACACACTGTGAGCATCAAATTAACACATTTCCCTCGACCTCCGTAAATCTTTCTTTTGAGAATCGAGTATTCACTGTCTTATTTCATGAATCATAACAATATCTTAGAAGCCATTTTGATGCTACTGTTCGTCTCCAAAGGGTGAGTTCAATGAAATACTTTAGGAGTGCGGTGTACAAAATTTTAATAAGCCAAAAGGCTCAACTCACTTTTTTATTCGATAATTGACAGCCAATGTTTCAGATTTTGTGATGCGTCTTCTGACACTGAAATAATAAAAAAGCTGCTTGGGAATGGATACGACTGGAGAGTGAGGCCTCCTGGAATCAACTTGACCATTCCAGGTAAAGAACAATACCATTACCTCTTCCAACACATACACTTAGGGACTCATGGCGCTGTTGTTGTTCACGTCAACATGCTTATAAGAAGGTTGTCTTAACAGTTATTCCTTACACAACATTTGTTTTCAGTATATCCAAAATTGACGATGTAAATATGGAATATAGTGTGCAGTTGACATTTCGAGAAGAATGGGTAGATGGGCGTCTTGCATACGGTTTGCCTGGTGATTTGAAGCCAGAGTTTCTGATATTGACAGCAGGACAACAAATCTGGATGCCGGACAGTTTCTTCCAGGTTTCAAATCAAGAAAAACTTTTATTTACTGTTAGATAATTCTCTGAAAATAATCAAGGTTGCACAATAGATTGGTAAAAACAAATATCTCTGGGAATCTGAGTACCACCCGCAAATATGGCCGCGTGTACATTATTGATGAGATTTACCGAGAAAATCTAACCTCTCGGGGTTCTACCACTATTTTTGAAATTACTCTACAATACCGTATATTACAGGTGATAGTGTATTAGAAGTGCCCTTCTAGTAAAGACTGTCCTTCAAGCATAGATGCACTTCTAATACAGTATCATGGTAACTTATACCTTGATTTAAAAAAAAATTCTCTTATGATAAAAAAAACACTTCCTAATTACTTGCTCGTCGAATTAATCAAACTCAGAATGAAAAGCAAGCTCACAAGCATGCGATTGACAAACCAAATGTTCTGATTCGTATTCACAAGGACGGCAGAATATTGTATTCTGTTCGAATATCAATGGTTCTCTCATGTCCAATGCACCTACATTACTATCCTATGGACGTTCAAACTTGTCTTATAGACTTGGCCTCTTATGCATATACTGAGAGTGATATTGAATATAGATGGAAGAAAAACGACCCAGTACAGTTGAAGAAGGGCCTACACTCATCGCTGCCAAGTTTCCAGCTAAACAATGTTGCTAAAACCTTCGACAACACAAAAAAAAGTTATTTAGGTGTCAACAACTCTGTGCACGAGTAAAACCAACACAGGAACATATTCTTGTTTGAGAACAGTACTGGAACTAAGACGTCAATTCAGTTATTATCTCCTCCAATTGTACATTCCTTCAACAATGCTCGTCATAGTCTCATGGGTCTCATTTTGGCTGGATCGAGGAGCTGTTCCAGCTCGCGTTACACTTGGAGTAACCACTCTTCTCACAATGACGACACAGGTATTATCGGTTCTAGGGGTCAATTCAAAGTTAACCGGAGTAAATAATTTTCCTAAGGGGGGGGGGGAATAATTTTTCATTTCTTGCTATCCTTTTGAGGTATAGGGAAGTCGGCGCAGTGGGCCCATTTTTCAATAGTCTCGGTGATAAATAAGCACAAGGACAGACTCAGACTCCATCAGGTAAATCGTTTCTAATCTAGCTAGCTAATTCGCGTTTCTAACCGGACCTAGTTAGATTGCTAATTTACTGCGATTAGATTCCAAATTCTTCTAACTAGACTGATAAATTTTCTAATTAGATTGACAAAGCAATGTTTTCCTAAATAGATTGTTAGCTTAGTTTCCATTTTCATCTAGTTAGATTCGGAACTCGGTTTAGATTACGAAACCCCTAACTAGATTACAAAAGACTTGCCTGAGGAAGACGATTGGATGATTATCTTATTTTACAGGCATCCGGCATTAACGCTAAACTTCCACCTGTTTCGTACACGAAAGCTATTGATGTTTGGATTGGCGCCTGTCTCACATTTATTTTTGGCGCACTCTTGGAGTTTGCTTGGGTGACTTACATATCCTCTAGAAGTTTTTACAAACGTACGTTTTTTCCGATCATGTATGAAATTTTTGCGCCTCGCCCATGTTCCCGGAGTCAAAGGCGTGTATTTATAGATGTGTTATTCAGATAAAAAAATGGATGCAAGCAATAATTCTCTTCTGATTGAAACAAAACAAGCTTTGATTATTCCGAACACGCTGGTTGCTCATTTAAATGAAGCCAAGGTGAGTTTTCAATTGAATTCAAACAGATATTTATTAGATCAAAGTAACATGATTCAAAGAGCTATTATGGGCGGAACTTTTTTACAGCAGCGCTCTGTTCCTAATCTGGCCGAGTTTCTAGACAGTTGTTTCTCACTGAAAATGTATCCGAAATTTCTCATGTTTTCTTCAAACTCGGCACCGAGGTCATTGCACTGCAAAAAGAGTTTCTCAACAGAGCGTTATGGGGCTATTTAGCGTATGTTTGTTTTCCGTTTTTTTTTACATCGCTGAATTGGATTTTTTTGACGTAAAAAACGAAAAATTTTTTTTTTCACAGCCTGAATAACCCCATTATTATAGGGGCACCGCACAGAAATGATTCTCTGTTGAGAAACTCTTTTTGCAGTGCAAATTTAGCGACCTCGGGGGCCGAGTTTGAAAAGTTAGGCCACATTTTCAGTGGAAAATTACTTCGCGGCCTAGAAATTCGGCCAGATTGCGAACAGCGCGCCCTTTCTGTCCGGTGTCCCAATAATAGCTCGGCCCGCGCAGCGAGCCCCCCGCGGTTTCAAAATATTTGTTTCATTCTCTGATCAGAACCACGGGTCGTGACGGGAACGTTGAAAACTTTAATTTTAATTTCCGCCAACGGCCGATTGCGTAGCGCCCCTATCATTAAGGCATTAGTCCAAAGCGAAATTGCATTAAAGCGCACTTGCGCCAGTGTACCCCGCCACGATTTTGTGAGAACCATTCGAAAGTTCACGTGTTCATTTCTTAATTACTCCGTCACTAATATTTTCCTTTTATAAATGAAAGTGGCCGGACAAAAATCGTAAAAAGAAAGAGAGAAAGAGAGAAATTCCGTTAGATTTTTTTAAAATAAGAATGATGATGATGATTTTTAATGATTTTTTCAGACTGCAAATGGTGATGATGAGAGTGCATGTGTTTGGATCCGACAGATTGACAACGATAATAGCGGTTCTCGTTTAAATGGAAGTATTCATCAGTGCGTTGATGAAGCGGCCGAACTAATTCTTTATCCTACCGAAGAAAAACAGAAGAAATCTATGTGGATGAGAGTCCGTAAGAATTTTATTATAAGCTGGATTCTCCATCGTCTTAATGTTAATGACAGCGGTAAAAGAGCCGACCTTTATTCTAGTGAGTTTTCAGAGTTGCAACTACAATGATATTATTTTTATAGGAGTGCTTTTCCCGACCATGTTTTTGTTTTTTAACTTTTTGTATTGGGCCAAATACTCACAATATCATGTGCTAGATGCTAAATAAAGACTATCTGTGTTCTACGTCGTAGTCTTCTCTGTATCTGTGTTCTACGTCGTAGTCTCCTCTCAAAAGGAACATATCTTAAGTGGAGGATGAATATTTGGCGGATACAAATTTGTACGATTTACCCAATATCTCTTGAAAGAAAAACGAGTTTATTTTCCGAAGAAAAAAAAATCTATTAGGCAAGAACTGGAAAAAACGGTGGTGATTCTCTGCGAGAAGGAAAGAAAGAAACTCGCAAAAATTTCTAGGGATCATTGAAAGCTACTTTTTGAACTCATTCCTAAAAAATGAAATAAAATGAACAAGTATTCGTCCGACGGCACGCATCTGAAGTCTCGGAGCAGCCTAGGGCGGCGGACGGCGGCGTACTCTCCAAGCCTTTTCTGTGCGCCAAAGCTTGAAATGTCGGAAGAGTTCTGATTAATTCTTCCTAATTGTTTGGGAATGAGTTCATTATGATAAAAACCAACAAAGAGACACAAAAAGAACGCACGAGCAGCCATATTTCGAAAAAAGCTGTTTTCGTGCTGAACCTCAGAAATTTTGGCGAGTTTTTCCTTGCTCTTTGCTAGTTTTGATGGCATTTAATTCGGAGGGTACAAAAATTAGGGGGTACAACAGGGTACAAATGGTTTTGGGGTACAACTTTCATGGTTTTGGGGTACAAAAAGTCGAGGGTACAAAATTTTCGATTCTGGGGTACAAAAATTTACCGATTCAGTAGGCATTGATTAAGGGGTACAATTTTTATGATTTAAGGGTACAAATTTCACGATTTTGGGGTACAAAAGTTGCACGAAGCACATTTTCGAAGTTTTCATTCCAGTTTTGAATTTTTGAGAGCAGTTGCACCCCCTAATTTTTGTACCTTCCGAATTAAATGCCAGTTTTGATCATCTCGGCAAAGGCGGGCCACTTTTGCGCAAACTTTAAGGATCCTCGCAGCTTTTGCGCAAAGTTTAAGAGGCAATGTCTGAGAATTTCAAAAACAGCAGGTCACTAAGAATTTAGAATGCTTCAATTTGTCCCATATTATACCCAATGACATAACAGTAATACATCAGACAAGTTTTGGTCCGGCTCCGTGGTCCCTAGTCCGATCACGGTCACAAAATAGGACAAACCTGTAACTAATTTCAAAAAATGCTAGCGTCTCAGACTATTGGACTTTTTGAGTGTATTTCACGTTGGGACCAAAAATTTATTATAGGGGCACCGCACAGAAATGGCGCTCGGTCGAGAAACTCTTTTTGCAGTGCAAATTGAGCGACCTCGGGGCCGAGTTTGAAAAGTTAGGCCACGTTTTCAGTGAAAAATTACTTCGCGGCCTAGAAATTCGGCCAGATTGCGAACAACCCCAATAATAGCAGCTTTCCTTCATGGAGAAAAATATTGTTTTGTGACATTTTTCAGAAAATTTTTCAGTTTTCTGCTCGTCCTGAAAAATTTTAACACTACATAGCCATGATTTTATTGCTGATTCTGAATCTAGACGTTATTGTGCTTCGGCAAAAAAAAAGTTCACCCCGATCCCGATTGACATTAAGGGCTTTTTAGGCCGAAGTTCACAAAATTGGTAGTACTTTTGCATGGAAAAATGTTCGCGAACTTGAGAAAAGTGAGTTTTCTCAAAATTGACCCGGGGGTCATGACAAAATTTTCGAGAAAAAATTAATTTTCGAAATGCTTCAAAAAAATCAAGAATGCCTAATAATAATAACACATTTATTCTCTTCAGCCACCTAGGAATAAAATTACAACAAAAAGAAAGAAGAGAAAAAAAGAGGGGGAATGTGGGTGGGGGAAGGAACAATGGCTTGACATGACCATTGGCCGGCAGTAGCCAGAGGTCAGTTAGAATACAAAAAGCTAGGGGGGGGGATCTTCTCGATGCGCGCCGCGAAGGCCTCAGAGGACAGTCTTTCGGGAAACAACTTGGCCACTCGGTTCCAAAGGGCAAGATGGGTATGTAAGAAAGAGTCATGGGGTAGGCCAAGGGAGGATGGCGGAAGGCGAAAAGACGCGGCATAGCCACGGCCGTTACTCCTCCCATTCATGAATCAGAAGAGTGTTTCTGTAAGTTAACAGAGAATTTTATAACTCGTAGATGAGAATTTCAGATTTTGAGGATGGTGTCTCCTACATCGCCTGCATTTTCACTTATAACAACGTGTCTTTTTTCAGTTATGAAAGTGATGAAGACTATAATAATAACTCATTTATTCGCTGCGACCACCAGAAAAAATGGCTCCGCGACATTTCGTTACCAGCCATTTCGTTACCAGCCATTTCGTTACCAGCCATTTCGTTACCAGCCATTTCGGCACCAGTCATTTCGGCACCAGTCATTTCGGCACCAGTCATTTCGACACCAAAAAAAAGCGAGAATTTTTTAGTCGAATTTCACTTATAATTTTCGCAGTACTAGTCAAAGGTTTTCATCAAAACTCTTTCGAATTTCACTGCGCGTCATATTAACGTGAACAAATTGAAAAACAGAAACACATTTATATAGAACAACAAAGTTTTGAAGAAAAGAAAAACAAAAATTGGAAGAAAAAACAGAAAAGGCATGAAGCGGAATTGGTGTCGAAATGACTGGTGCCGAAATGGCCCGGTGCCGAAATGGCTGGTAACGAAATGGCTGGTAACGAAATGGCTGGTAACAAAATGTCGCGGAGCCACACATATACACACACACAAACGTCACAACTTTGCCACTTTCAGTTACTACAGTTATTACGTTACTGCTCACGGAACCCCAGTCTTCCAATAAAAAATTCTCTTGGTGCAATTCACGTGCGCTAAACAAGGCGCGTAACGCGTAATTTCGGAGCGGCGTTGTAGAGTTTCTCATTTCAATTTTCCATGTTTTTTGCATTATCCCCATCTTTTCAGAACCAATCAGTGTCAAAACTTATGATAATGATTAGAAATGAATAAAAAATGAAATTTTAACTGCTTCGTCATCAATTTCGAAACGTTTTATGTGAAAATTACAGAATTTTTTCCTTTTGGAATCGAAAGTTAGAGGTATCTTTTTACAATGGACGACTCTCTCGAAGAACAAAGCACAAACCTACAAAATGATGCATCTCCGAATGACTCGATGGAGTGTTTCAGGATATCGATTCTATACACTTCTCCGAACGTTCCGAGAGACTTGATCAAATGTTAAACGAGAACGAGCTTGACGAGGAAAGATTTAGGGTCATTCTTTCTTAATTCTTTGATTATAGCCCCACTACATGGACACCGACGTATCCGACCTTCATGTCATGTCCACATTTCTGTTCCCAAAAACGAAACGGATGAGCAAGCTCCCGGACAAATATCTTGAAATCGCTATTTCGAAAGTCGAAGATCGCCTATCTCAAATCGGCGACCCACGTATTCCAGTCAACGTAAACAATGGATGCGATGAGTAAGGCAGCTAATTTTTCTTCTAACCTAATCACATAAATTTTAGCGAGTTCGACAACATTCTTCAACCGACCTCAAGGGAGGAAATAGCCGCTTATGTGGCGGAACTGGTTCATCCTTCAGAAGACTGCCCGTTGAGATACTGGCATAAGAATCAGACAAAGTTCCCGACACTGAGCAAGGTGGCGCTCCGCTGTTTCTCCGTGTTCACTTCTGAATGAGTTGATTCTCTGACATCAGAGAATGAAAAAGTGTTGAAAAGAGCAAAATGTCGAAAATGGTATTATAATCCCTCCATCCTATACTATTGCCATGGTAAATGTTTCACGAATTTCGCGCTTTTTTCATATGTTAGCGCTTGTTCTCTGCCAATTAATGCTTGTTTTCGGCTGAGTTTTGTATTTTTTTTGTCTCAAAAATGAAAGAACGCAGTTTACAGAAGCTTTATTATTTTTAGTAATTGTTATCAACAGAGAAAAATAGCCAACAGCAAAAACTAATAACAGCGCTGTGTAATATTCCTGCAAAGCGTAAGAACGTCTTCAAAATGCTGTCGGAAACAATTGCGGCTAAACAGAAAGCGCGCGCGCCAAACTTGCAAAATTGCGTTCGGCAATTGCGCAAGGCCACGCCTTCTTCCGTATAAACTAGTTTTTTTCTCTCGATTGACTAGGCCGCCCAGTAGAGCGCGTTGGCATTATGTAACCCGCCACGACCCCGTAAATCGGGAAAATGCAATGAAGAACCAACACATGTATAAAGAATACAGAGTTGAAAAAGAACCAGTTTGCTTTGAATTTGAGATAATCTTGTCCAGATTCATATGAAGTAGGTGTTCACATCCAGAATTGCAACCGTCAACGCCCTTAAAAATAAAATTTGAGAAATAAAACGCGGGCGGTAGAACATAATAGAACTGCGACATAATAGAACTGTGACAAAATAGAACTGCGACACCATAGAACTGCGTGGAATAGAACTGCGGAGAATAGAACCGCGATACAATAGAACCGCGACATAATAGAACTGCGCAGAAGAGAACTGCGACAGAATATTTAGAACTGTTTTTCGGTGGCGCGCGTTAGCATTTTGTTTTTAAATGTGAGGAATTGCCTATATTTCGATTCAATAATTCGATAGCGAACTTCAAAAACGATCTTACTTCAGAAAACGATTATACTACAGAAATGCGCTCCAATAGGTTCTATTGTGTCGCGGTTCTATTATGTCGCGGTTCTATTGTGTTGCGGTTCTATTCTGCGCAGTTCTATTATGTCGTGGTTCTATTCTGTCCAGTTCTATTATGTTGTACCGCCAAAACGCGTACTTGTAAAACTCGAGCAATGAGGGACATAGTAAGATTTGGTGGCACATCAGCAGATCTGCTTAGAATTAGCTTTTGTATTTTTTTTTTGAAATAGCGAAATTGAGAAGGTGCGATTTTTCGCAACTCAGTCAATTTTTCCAATTTTTAGAAAAAGCTTTTTGATGAAAGTATTTAGAAATGTGTTTCCTGTACGTTGATAGCACGCGCCTACTAGTCTATATAGTCCCTTGTTACGTCATTCTAGACGTATGATAAGTGTAGGATAACGCTAAGTGATCTACCTGTGATCTACCCGCTAGGTTATGTATTATTCTCGTTCATTTGTCATCATTCGTGTCACCCTCCCTCTGAGGACGAACCCTCAATTCTATTCTATACATTCTATAGCTGCTTACCCAGCTAAGGTTTTTCTCTCGCTGAATAAACCTATAGCTGAACTCTTGTCTGTTCCTACTCTTCCTTACCAACGCGGTGGAAGATATCAGAAACACAGCATCCCTATACAAAGCCCATTAAAAATCTAAACTTTAGCTGTTATGCAGATTCGATGTCCTTACCCTTCATAATAATGCTCAAGTTTTACAGAGAATGAGTTATATGGACTAAATTTTAACAAATTCACCTGTTGTATAGAAACATCCGTACATGTACATCTCGCTATGTCATCGCAATGCACCCTCCGGAGCCGCATCAGCTGAACATTTTTAAGTTTTAAAGAATAGTTTTAAAAGTGTTAGTCAATACATTAGCTAATAGTTGATTGAACCGACTACACGCAATCATTGTGTCACGATTTGGTAAAATATGCACAATGATAGATGATATTTCGAAAAGGAAATCTTCCTCTTCTTTTTGTTCGTCATGACTCATTTTCTTCTTGCAATGTTGGAACACATCTTGTGAACACTGTTGCTCACACAACTGAACGTTTGCTATTCGAGAGATTCTTTTTGAAGCAACCTACTTCTCTACCGTATCCTCGATAAGCAAGGAATACGTGCATTGGAAGCTTCTTTCCGAAAACCATGTGATACTGTACAGAAGCAATCTGAAAATTAAAAAGTGGATAAGAAAGTTATTCTTAGAAACATTCGCTGCTTGTTGGTCGGAACATCCTGGATATATGAAACAGGATGAGAATTTCCTCACATCATGACATATCTTCAGCTGGCGAACATCTAGAAAACAGGGTTAGATCGCTTTACTAAACGTATGGAAAAAATTATCGTGATAAACTCAATTCATCGCCATAGCCCTTTGGTGATTGCAGACTCAAGCCAAAATTTCTAAAATTAGGCTTGAGTACGCAAGCAGCGAGGGGTCAAGAGCGGTAAATTAAGTAAAGTTCAGACACTTACGTTTTTTCTTATCGAGAACTTTCTCAATTATCCTGTGACTTTCGTTATTCCATAGAAAAGCAGAACGTTTTTGTAGAATCAGTGGATGCGTTGCGGACTGAACGACTTTTATTTTCAAAAGCCCCATTTCCGAACTATCCCTAACCAGACCGCTCTCGAACTGGTAAATTGCACGGCGAACATTTCTGAACATGGTTTGAATTTCTGGCCCGTCTTTTGTCACTGCGTAGCGGCTCACTAGCGTGCTTTAAGGGGTATAGTATTTTTTAAGGAGCGAAACAAACGAGGTCGAGCATGTGCACAAATGTTCGCCGTGAGTGGAATGATATATTCAGAACTCTTTGATAAAATGTTAGTAACGAGATATATTATAGGGGCACCGAACAGAAATGGCGCTCTGTTGAGAAACTCTTTTTGCAGTGCAAATTGAGCGACCTCGAGGCCGAGTTAGAAAAATTAGGCCACATTTTCAGTGGAAAATTACTTCGCGGCCTAGAAATTCGGCCAGATTGCGAACAGCGCGCCCTTTCTGTCCGGTGCCCCTATAATAATGGGGCTATTCAGCGTTTGTTTTCGTTTTTTTACATCGCTGAATTGGAATTTTTGTAAAAAAAAACGGAAAAATTATTTTTTTTTTCACATCCTGAATAACGCCATAACTTACCAGAAACGCTTCGCGGAAACAGTTCTCCAATTCAAGTTCATAACATTGCAGCCTATCATCATTTTTCGACAAAATAAATGAAAAGCAGAGATGCGTCACTGAGCTGAACGTTATCATCAGTCTCAGCATAATTAATAATTATTCATTTTCCATATGCTGAAATTGGTCTGATAACGAAATTTTCAGAAAAAATTGCAGATGATGAAAAAAGAAAAATAACGGCTAAAGCGTGGTCCACTTCTGAGTTGCAGGAACGTGAGAGGTGTAAGAACCTCTTTAACAAAACACTACAGAGTACGATGCCTTTCAATCTAAAAAGACTGACACCAAACTTATTGTTCATTCCTACTGATATTCTTTATTTCATCAGTAAGTTTGGTGGAAATCCGAATAGTAGCAGCTGAATGTTGCGGACTTTCAGACATGAACACATAGTTCATACTTAAATATAAAAAATGAGATACCGTAAATGCTGTATTAGAAGGACGCACAGCAAAGTGAGCTGCACGCTTGCAGCAGTTTTTTTAAACTTAGAGGACCAGGGAACCCAAAAATTTTTTGATTTTTTTGTGTTTTGTGACTGTTTGAATTGTCTCTTATTGCCTCATACACTGGTGAAATGCTGCCTCTCAAAAATGCCAATGAACGAAACGGCATGCAGTTAAAGTTGTGGCCGTGGCCTAGCGCCAATGGCCGAAAAATATATAAAAATATATGCGCTTCTCGGCCATTTTATTTTTCCGCTGTTTTACCGGTTTTTTTCCAAAAATTCACGGTTTCTCCCATTTTTCAGTTGATTGACATTTGTTCGGCACTTACTTATTTTTTCACTGCTAACAAATTGTTTTCATTCAGTCGATATAAAGTGCCAAAATGGGAGAAACCGTGAATTTTTGGAAAAAAAAACCGGTAAAAAAGCGGAAAAAATAAAATTGCCGAGAAGCGCATATATTTTAATATATTTTTCGGCCATTGGCGCTAGGCCACGGCCACAACTTCAACTGCATGCCGTTTCGTTCATTGGCATTTTTGAGAGGCAGCATTTCACCAGTGTATGAGGCAATAAGAGACAATTCAAACAGACACAAAAAATTTCACAAAAAAATCAAAAAACTTTTGGGTTCCCTGGTCCTTTAAAGGCAATGTCTGAGAACCTCGAAATTCGCTAATTACACCTGGTCACTAAAAATTCAGAATACTTCAATTTGTTCCATATTATACCCAATGGGTACTTACATAACAGTGATACATCAGACAAGTTTTGGTCCGGCTCCGTGGTCCCTAGTCCGATCACGATCCCAAAATAGGTCAAAACTGTAACTAATTTCAAAAAAATGCTAGCGTCTCAGGCTCAACGCCATTCGATTTCTCGCGCATCTTTTTAAGCATTTTTCATGTTGGCACCAAAAATTTAGCACCTCTCCTTCATGGAGAAAAATATTGTTTTGTGACATTTTTCAGAAAATTTTTCAGTTTTTTGCTCGTCCTGAAAAATTCTAACACTACATAGCCATGATTTTATTGCTGATTCTGAATCTAGACATTATTGCGCTTGTGCAAAAAAAAAGTTCACCCCGATCCCGATTGACATTAAGGGCTTTTCAGGCCGAAGTTCACAAAATTGGTAGTACTTTTGCATGGAAAAATGTTCGCGAACTTGAGAAAAGTGCGTTTTCTCAATTTTCTAAGGGGTCTCATTGCGATTTTTGTTGTTTTCGTATACTTTTAGGCATTCTCGATTTTTTGGAAGCATTTTGAAAATTAAAAAAAATTAGACCAAGTCGTCGACCAGGGGGTCATGACAAAATTTTCGAGAAAAAATTAATTTTCGAAATGCTTCAAAAAATCAAGAATGCCTAAAAGTATACGAAAACAACAAATATCGCGATCAGACCGGTCTCTTTGTCGACCCCTTTGAAAATTGAGAAAACGCACTTTTCTCAAGTTCGCGAACATTTTTCCATGCAAAAGTACTACCAATTTTGTGAGCTTCGGCCTAAAAAGCCCTTAATGTCAATCGGGATCGGGGTGAACTTTTTTTTGCAGGAGCGCAATAATGTCTAGATTCAGAATCAGCAATAAAATCATGGCTATGTAGTGTTAAAAGTTTTCAGGACGAGCAGAAAACTGAACAATTTTCTGAAAAATGTCACAAACCAATTTCTTTATCCATAAAGGAGGGGTGCCAAAATTTTGATCCCAACGTGAAATATACTCAAAAAGATGCGAGGAATCCAATGACGTTGAGTCTGAGACGCTAGCATTTTCTTGGAATTAGTTACAGGTTTGACCTATTTTGTGACCGTGATCGGACTAGGGACCACGGAGCCGGACCAAAACTTGTCTGATGTATCACTGTTATGTAAGTACCCATTGGGTATAATATGGGACAAATTGAAGCATTCTGAATTTTTAGTGACCTGCAGTTTTTTGACTTCTCAGACATTGCCTCTTAAAAGTCGATTTTCGAACGTTTTACACGGTTTTAAAAAATCAAAAAATTATTTTTGGTACATTGGAGAATAGAAGGGCATGCAGAAACAGTATTAACAGTACATGGACCATAGTAAATAATCTTCGGGAACATTATTTTCAACTTTCTCCTACTTCTAGTGCAACTTCATCAAGGCGAAAAGAGAGAAAAGATGAACTCAAGCACAAACTAAGTTTGAATAGGAGGTCCACGCGTTTATAGAATCTTCTTCCACATAGTTCTTCATTTTTAGGTTGCGAGAGCCTACCAATTTTTCTTTTGACTGACTTTATTCATATTGCACTGGCTGATTTCTCGAATTGGACTGCGAAGAGCGAAAAAAGAAGAGAAAAGATGAGGATGTGGGAATTTGAGCCGTGGACTCCACTTTACCACGATAGGCATCACACCCCTCTCAATTTTTATATCTTCTACTTTTCAAAAAGTCCTTTCTCTCTCCTCCCGCTTATCTTTGTATACTTTTATTCTCGATCTTCTTTTATACTTCAAGAGAATCGAGCAAGGATTGGCACGAAAAATTCGCCGCCCTTTTTCCAGGATTGTTGTAGTACGGTAGACGTGAAAATTGAAAAACAACGGATTTCTGTGTTGAACGGATTTGGGGGTAATTTTTCATGTGAAAAATTTCGAGATTTCAATTAAACTTTTTAAACCGATTAAACCGGCTCGTGACAACTATGGGCAAACACTGAACTATTGCATGCTGAATTACTTTTTTCTTAATTACTCCTTTTGTCTCAACTAGTTCATCCTATCTCAATTATTACAAAATCTCAATTACTCGTTTTGCCTCAACTACTTCACCATCTCAACTACTACAAAATTTTTCCTCCGGATTGTTAACATCAACGTTCTCGGTGAGCTTGATTAAGTAGGATATAGGTAGGATATATCTACTAGCACCAAACTTTGATGGAACATTTCAAGATAGCCACATAGCAGTGTTACTCTCAATTCACCGTTCTTGCCCCTCGGTGTTTGCGTACTCAAGCATAATTTCAGCTTTGGCTTGAGGGGCAATAGCAATGAATGTAACTTAATCCAACTTAAGCAGGCTCACCGAGTACGTTGACAACGGGGACCTTTCGATGACAAGATTTGGTAGTAGTTGAGACAAAATGAGTAATTAAGATTTGGTAGTAAGTGAGATACGATGAAGTAGTTGAGACAAAAAGAGTAATTGAAATTTTGTAGTAATTGCGATAGGATGAAGTAATTGAGACAAAAGAACGCCATTGCAGCAAAATGCATCCATATTATAGGGGCACCGCACAGAAATTGCGCTCTGTTGAGAAACTCTTTTTGCAGTGCAAATTGAGCGACCTCGAGGCCGAGTTTGAAAAGTTAGGCCACGTTTTCAGTGGGAAATTATTTCGCGGTCTAGAAATTCGGCCAGGTTGCGAACAGCGCGCCCTTTCTGTCCGGTGCCCCTATAAAAATAGCGCATTTTTTTCTAAGTATTAAAAAGCGCGCTAACCACACCCTCTTCCAGCCATTTTTTAACACATTGAGCACCCAAATACCCACTGATAATTTTTCCAAAACATTTTACACAAGAGAACCCCAATCTTGCTTTTGTTTTTAAACGCTGCATCTCGATGTTTTTTAGTGCCACACCCCTTTTGAGAACGGCAAGTAACTCGAGAGATGGATATCTAACGATTTTCATGTTAACTTCTCAAAAAGTTAATTTCCTGATCAATTTTCGTATCGATACAATTGAATTGAATATCTCAACTTTCGAGAACAAAAAAAAGAGTCACTAAATGTCAAGCAATAAGAAGTTTAACCAAAAGCTTTTCGAAAAAGATAGCTTTTGCCAAGGTTTTATATACTTTTCAACGGTTTGACCGTGACAGTTGAAGTGTATTGAAAACGTAGTTACTATTTAATGAACTTCTAGATTAACTTCGCGAAAGAATGTGTATACACTAATTTGACTTTGTCGGTGACGAGCGTCGTATTTCTGGGTATTAACAACTGCAACCCTTAAATTTTTCAGTGTGTGAAGTTTCCGAGCCTGATCTGTGACGTTTTCTCGACCCTCAATTGTTAGGAATGTTCTGGAAACTCGAGAAAAAGAACAGAAAAGATTACTGTAAAAAATGGAGGTCAAATGGAGGTCATTCGGCACCGAACCACTAAAAAAAGTTGTCGGAAAAATTGCATCATTCGATTCAGCGTTGAAAATGAGGCAGATGTTCATTTACGCAACAATTTTAGAAAGACTGGGGCTCCGTGAAGCATCTAAAAAAATAATCGAATAAGCATTTGGGTGATAATTCGTTATCAAAGTAGTTAGATCAATTGTGAAACAGTGTGAGAAGAAGTTCCATAAGAAGACGTGCAACGATCCAACTATGATTACTACCAAAAACATTCTTCAGGAGTCACAGTACGAATGTGTTAAGTTAACTTCGTCACAATGAAGCATGCTTCTCTCCAGGCTTCTTCAAAATAAGCGTCCGATTTTGAAAAATTAGCATCATTCCCAAGAGGCGGTGATTTCCGGAGGGATCACTTGCGTATTTATTTCAAAGACAGAACGAATACTTTCGCGTTTGCCGACGTATAAGGCTGCCCAGGAAGCGGTTAGCTTTTTCAAATATGAAAAGAATTTAAA